CGCATCATCCGCCAGCTCGGGCTTCTCCAAAATCTTTTCGGCAAGCAGGCGGAACTAACGTCACATGTGCCTCGGAGTCAGGTCGTCCAGAGCTGCTTATCAGTGATGCTGCCCACCTGCTTGTCGTTGCCTGCGCCAATCATGAGAAATCCGTCTTTGCATGGGAAAACTTGGTAAGGAACTATGGACGGGTGGGCAGTTCCGTGCCGAGAGGCTTCCTTTCCGGCGATGAGATAATTCGACGCTATATTCGCAAGACTTGCAAGCTAAGTATATACCAGAGAAACCACATTGGTAAACATCAGCCAGACAAGGAAATAAACATGTGATAGTCACTGTACCTGTGTCTCAAATAAGTTACAGTCTATCCAAACGCCTTTTCCTGTGTGCTGTACGGAACGCAAACCAGCAAGGATAGCACCGTGTGCGTAAAGACCTGTCATCAAGTCTGTCACCGCAACGCCTACTTTAGATGGTGGACGATCAGGTTCGCCTGTGCTACAATGCACGAAGGGCAAGGCATAAGACTCAAGGTATCATCTGTAAGCGCCAGCAACACAGCATACATACATGTGCATCAGTCCAGCTTCGGCTTCAATAATGACATCGTAACCCGCGGCTTCGCGGAACGGGCCTGTCTGTCCATACCCTGATTGCATCAGTTAAACTGAATGCTGATATCAGGAAAAGTGAAGCTCAGACAAACCGGTGATGGAAGCGTACACAAGCTGCGGATTAAGCACCTTGCAGTCCTCCCAACCGAGACCCATCCCTGCAAGCTTTCCTGCGATAAAATTCTCCACGAGCACGTCGGAACTGCGAACTAGCCTCTGAATGACCTCAAGTCCCGCAGGATCCTTGAAATTCACAGTAATAGAACGCTTGTTTCTATTCACAGCAAGAAAATATGCAGATTCAGGAGGGAGGTGTAACGATTCTTTAGGAGAATTCGGGGAGACAGGAGCAGAAGGAGGTAGCCAGGAGCCTATTTTGGTTAGACAAACAACGTATAGGCTAGCACAGGCTACTCACGAGTGTCGTCACCGTAGGTGACCTCCTCAACCTTGATGACATCTGCGCCCATGTCTGCAAGAAGCATGGTGCATGATGGGCCTGCTAGCACACGAGTGAGGTCGAGGACTCTGATGCCCGTGAGTGGGGGGAGAATGCCCTGATGAGTAGATTGAGTAGATATGTGGGAATGTCTGATGAAACGACTATCAAGACGGGTGACAGCACTGAGCGCTCTATATTTCGACAGTATCATCTCAGTTTAACGGGTAACCTAGAAAATGAAGCAGAGCGAATAGCAACGGTTAAGAAAATGAAACTGTCAACGATATAATGGTCCAGGGGTGGCAGAAGTCCAAATCCAATGTCGATATGGGTGTATTATGACATGTACCTGGCACCGCTTCATCCGCAATGTGCTAGTACTGACATTAAAACATAACAGAAAACAAAAACATATCAACTCGTTTCGTCTAACGTTCATTACGGTTATCCACAAATTACCATGGGTTTCTTCTCGTCGCGCAGGACAGTAGACGAGTCCAAGTCGTACATCCATAACGACAGTTCCGTGTCCATGTCAATGGTCCAGGTCATCCGTTCCCGATTCGTACGTATTTCTATCCGTTCTCTTGATGGGACAGTGCACTGACATTGATGGGGGTCATGAATATTGCAGTATGGAAAGTACAAAAGCAAGGCGCGCGGGACGCACCATCCTTCAATGATTGGGCACAGTGACCACAATCTCCACCGTCTCAGCGCTGGGCGCTCCCCTCTCGGGACCGAGCAGTTCTTACCACCACCACAAGATACTCCACGTCCACATACAGATGTGATCACGTACGTCTTTCATCGACCGCCAATTACACCACTCGCTCATGTTCTTCTGTTCTCCTGCTTACAGGACCACCCTTGCACAACGTCTCGATGAGCTTGCTGCTGCAAATTCTCAGGGCTTACTCGAGTGAGTTTGTTTTGGATTTTGAGGCTGAGGACGTGACTTGTGTGTTGTGGTAGCGACCATTGCACCCATATGGGTTGACGTAGTGTTTCCTCACACCAAAATTGGTCTTCCATGTTCACGTCAAACCTCTCATTATGCTGAATCCGCTCACAGTGACGACGAATACCGTCTTCTGCGGCAAAACATCTTTGAACGGCTTGCTTCAGGTAGCTCAGTCCCGCAGGAAGCTTCTCTTGTCCCCATCGTCTCGCACCCACCGAACAGTGAGCCTTACGCTATGTGTATTTCGAAGAGACTGTTTTAAAACCTCGTTCTCTGCAATTTACAGCCTACAACCTGGCTTCTGCCAAAAGTCGTTCACCGTCTGTCCGCTCTAAATCCTCGATCTCCTCTGCCATGAGCACTCTCTTTAAACGCTCTTCTCGAATCTCGGGTCACACAACTCTCACTGCAACAACAGACGACACATCCATCTTCCCTAGCGGTACATCCCGATGGCTTCTGCCACAAATGCAAAGCGATGTTTCTTTGACATTGCAAAACTTGCCGCATATGGGTGATGTGCAGCATATAAGTGCGAATATGAGTACCAGCAGTATCAATGTTGGTGGAAACGGGGACAGAAGCAGCTCGTATCGGTCCCTCCGCCGCCTTCAAACAGGACCAGTTACCCCTCCCCCATCCTCTTTCCGTCTAAGTAGCACAACCGGCTCGCCCTCCACACCCGTTCCCTCAACGTCAACAGCCCCACGCACATCCTCGCATTCTCCATTGCACTTGCGAACTCCATCTCTCTCGGCACCTACGAATGCCGCCGATCCCGATAATCTATCCTCATCAGAGCTGAAGCTCCAAATTGCGACGCTTGAATCTGAGGGCAGACGGTTACTTGATGCGTTTAATGGGCTTGAGCTTACTGCACTGACCCGACGTCATCCACCGCAAACACCTTCTGTGCGCCGAGTTCGCGTTGGAACAGGAGGGAGCGATTATGATAGTAGAGGAGGGGGAAGTGAATATGGTGGTGGTAGAGGCGGGGGGAGTGAATATGAAGGCAGTGGATACCTAAGCGCCGGGAGAGGCACACCCTGCGAGGCTGACACTCAATCCATGTGCTCTGCGTCAGCAGGCTCCAGTGTTAGCCAACCGCGCTCACAGCCGCAGTCATACCGGAATCCCTCGTTACGTGCTCCGCCATCAACGTTATCTGTGTCAGCAAGGAAACGTAGTATATCATCTATATCTGCTCGCGCACGCGTCCCCACAAATGGCTCGATGTACGCTTCGCACTCCTCGCCGGGACTCACCCCCAGCAAGCTGCGGGAATTGGGCAGTGTGTCCTCTGTTAATATTGCACGAGAGTCTTCCATTCACCTCCCATCGATTGTGCACAACTCGCCGATGCGTGAAGTACCTGACGATGACGCCTCCATCTCGGCGCTCGAGAGCGAGTTGAACGATATTCGACGCCGGCGAGCAGAGGTGACTGCACGATGTCAAGTGCGGCTGGAGTACCTGCGGGCACAGCTGCGAGGAGCAGAATTAAGGGAGAAGTTGATGAGGAGATAAAAATAGGATTTTATCAGATTGGCACTTTGGACTGGCTCAATTTGTAATTTAGGACATCATCATATATACCTCCGTTCGACACTACTGTTCTATGTTATATGCGGATCATACTGCGGTTTTTTGGTTGACATCCTTGCATTCAAGTTGTCGAAGCTTTCCACAAAGTTCAGTTTAACTCAACATCTTATTGGCGATTTTATAATCGTCCTCGTTGTTCTTACCAGCAGGTGGATAAGTTTATTCAGGAGAAGCAACGTTTAGTACTAGGCTCTGTTAAGTTTAGCTTTTCAGAAGGCCAGTTGCAAAATGGCAGAGAGTTGCAAAGCACCTCATAGCATACATCCTAGACCTCCTGCTCTCGGGTATAAGACTTTTTTATCGTTGTTCTATATCGCTGTATTTTTCTTTAATGCCCTCGGCGTCAAATTTATCACCTCAATTCACTTGTTTTCATTTGAAACAATCTGGGAATTTTAGTGTAGCTCATAGCAAAAAAAAGTTTTGCTTTTTTCCAGATGCTTTTCTATGCTAATCCTTGCCTGCTATTTTCATATTGCTATCGACGATGCAATCAGAATGCTCAAGCGCTCAAGCGTGACAATTGTGAGCGGAGTATAGTAGGGTCGTCAGATAGTTGCAACCTTTGCAAGACCCCTCTAAAAGTGGTCTTGATTAATTCTACTGCAAAGATATCGCATTTACTGCTTTCAACGCTATAGACGATGTTCTCATTGCTCAGGACGACGCTCGTACCATATTTGCCAGCCAGCGTTCGGTTCCGCTCACAACTCGCACCTCGTCAAGTACAACATGTCAAACGACATAAAGGTCGCGTTCCGATACCCATAGGCGGGTCAACAAAAGGTACCACACTTGCTTATGGTGAATGGGGAATTCGCATCAAGGGTATGGGCGTCCGCTTCAGCGCGAAACAGCTTACTACGGCAGAGGAAGTCATAAAGCGCAAAATAAAGGTCGTCAAAGGCGCAAAAGTCTATCTCAGAGTTTTTCCTGATATTCCAGTTTGCATCAAGGTCTGCTATTCATCTGTTTGTCTTCTGCATGGACTTTTGACGTGTTTTCAAGGGAAACGAAACTCGTATGGGTAAAGGAAAAGGGACTTTTGAGTTCTGGGCTACCCGGTATGTTCTTTTTCCTTGTGCGTCATGAATCTCATTTGTGCAGCGTTCCCACTGGTCGCGTCATATTTGAGATTGGAGGGACCCCAATTAGAGAAGAGTTGGCACGCGAAGGCAGGAATGACCACCCATTTCTATTCTATTCAAACTTATTCCTTTACAGCTTTACGCCAAGCAGCAGACAAACTCCCAACCATAATGGAATTCATCACACGTTCGACGCCCCCTAGACTGGGAAATTTAGTGCTACAACCAGAACCATCTACCGATCAACTTTTATCCCCTACACAGATAGTCGAGACCTAGTAGCGCTGTTTTGTTCGCTTTGCAATGCATTCATGTTTGGATTACAAGGTTTTGTACAGAGTCGTCAAATTCCCGGCTTTGTGGGTCCAACATCACCAACGTTTAAACCAGAGTAATAGCATCAGAGGTAAGCAGTATGCACATATATTGGATGTCCGCCACGTAGCAAATTGACGAACTTCGTTCGCAAACAACAACAGCGAGAATACTTATCAATGAATGAAAAAACACGAGCTCAGATCACTGCGATATGCTCATCAAACTTGCAACAAACGTCAAAATCTGCAGCGACAATTAGCATGACGATGGAGACAGCCGTGGAATAAAAAAAAGGACGCACAAGTCGTGGACGAACGTCCACTATGTCTTCAGGCACCAAGAAAATCAGCGCGTTCATCTTTCTCGCAATAGAAATAGCCAATTTTGCTTGAAAGGAAAAGAACCAAACATCAGAATCCGAGAAATCCCGACGCTTACAAAGACCTACAATTCTGCCGCCGATCCTCATAAGCTCCACTCTCGCTGACATTAATCACAAGAGCAGGGTCCACGATCCCTGGTTTCATCGCGTCCAGAAGATCGAGGAAGAATAGCCCAGTGGTGATAGCTGGATCTTTGAACGATCGAATGGGTCGAACGCCGGGTTTGCCTTTTTGTGCAGTTGCATTTGCCCATTTGAGCATGTCTGTGTCGCTGATGGGTTTGCCGGTCTTGGAGAGCGCCATCAGGGTCTTTGTGATGTTCAACCTGTAGTAATCGATTTGTGACGTGTAGGTAGTGTGAAAGACTTGACGTACCTCATTAGTTGCCAGACAAGACCAAGAACGAGTGTCTTTGAACCATCAACGATATCAGCCCCCTGTATACCAACAAGGTGCATCCCATTCTGCTTCCCGAGCTCCACCGCGTAGTTTGTGTTCTCCACTTGCTTGAAACGGGAGAGCATGCTTTGGTTGGGAGTGACACCAATATCTTCCTGCTCCTCCTCATCAAGCATTGTTAGGGGTGCAGCTTGTGCACCGCCTTTGGGCTTCGAAACACGGCGCCATACTACAGAGCCGGGCGAAATTTTGTCGAATGCTTGGAGGATGATGAGTCCATCGCGTAAGTTCTCAAATAAGTTGAACACTGCTGGCTCGACGCCGAGCGAGTTGAGCCATAGCGTGAATGCGCGTGCCTCACGTTCACCCTCTGCGTCAAAGTCCTCAACAGCGCCGTAATCTTTAGCTTCTTGTTCGTCGAGGGGCTCGAGGCCGGGCCACGTGTTAAAAAGGTTTGCGACGAAGGCAAGGTTGAGCCGGGGGTTACCGGAGACGATGGATGAAGGTGTTAGGTACTTGCGACAGCCGATGACTTCAGCGTTTTGGAGGACTTGTTCTGCGCGTTGTCTCACGTCTTTAGTTTGGAGAGGTGCCAGAGAACATTGGTCTGGTTTAAGCTGGTTTAAGAGGACGGTGTAATTCTCGCCGTCTGAGACGTCGCGGCTGAAGTTGTTGACTCTAGTAGATCATGCATGAGAAGGGATCAATAAGTACGGATGACGAGCATACCTCCGTTTCCACCCTGCGGCTTTCAAGTGGTAGTTGAACCAACGGAGTAGAATTTGATCTGGTGTCAACCGTAGAAGATCGTCAATAGTTTCGCCATCCTCGCATAGCCGATACAATTCAGGATGAATCTTAATATCCACTTGTGCGAGTAAACCACGTCGTATGATCTGCCAAATAAGCCCAAGGATCAAATGCTCTCTCCCCTCTGCGATATCGGAAGAGCCAATATTGACGACGGAGCATCCGATACCCTTGGCAGACGCGATTACGATGTTGTTGTTCTCTGTCATCTGAAAAGCATTCAACGGTTTCCTCGGGCTTGGCTTGTTCAGCACACGGGTATCGATGGTGTCGGGGACGGAATCGTTGATCAGTTTACAGAGGATGAGGCCATCTTTGCACTCGTCAAAGAGCTGCATAGTTGAGGTAGGGATTGGGAAAAGGTTCCCAATGTCGGGGTCGTTCTCGATCACCTATGACGAGTGAAAAAGACGATGGATTACAGTTATGAGAGGAACTCACTGTGTTGATGTGATTTGTGAATTCCGTCCGCTCATCTTCATTGATGGTATGACTGACATTAGCGTTTGAGCCTTGGACAGTAACTTTTCCTGCTCGTGTTGGGAGGACGGAAGCCTTGCTTTGTGTGCGCAGTTTGACATTGAGCTAGCGAACGATGGTTGATCTGAGTGATATGCGAGATGACATCATGGGTAGTGTACAAACCTCTACCCAGTCCTCGAGCTCGACTTTGCCACTGGCATCGACAGAGACATGTTTAAGAGTCTCCCGAGCCTTGTCGTACGATTCTCCGGTGTTCTGAAGTGCTTGAAGAATAGCACTCTTGTCTATACGACCTGGCGTGTTGGTACTGATCGCACTGCGGCCGAGATTTATCACTTGATTCAATTCGAAAGGAGATCTCACGTACTTAAAGCGATTTACGAGATCAAACATTTCATCTTTGGAGACTTCTGGATATTTCTTTTGCAGTCGGAAGGCTTCCATCGGAGATGATGACGAGGATAGTGGCGGTAATTGGATAGAGTAAGTTGTGGAACGCGGTGCTGGGCGTTGCCACTTGGCTGCGGGCGATTGACTACGCGTAACCATCACCATCTTTAACTTGCAGGAGTGTTTCAAACAAACTTCACTCTTTCTCTTCTACTTATAACCCTTCAAGTTACACGCAGCACGCAGTTGCCCGCAGTTCCGATCGATGTTTAATTACACGGAACTATGATTAAAAAGGTATTTGAGGCACTGTGCATGACACAACTTCAAAGCATTGCCCTTGGCCTCATGTCAGTGGGGCCTGGGCAATGGGCACTGCTCGGCCTCGATAAGGGACACGCTGGGTATTCGGACTGAGAAGAGTCACTGCGCAGTGCGGAAATCAGAAAATAGTCGGGTCAGATTAGCACATGAGCTCATCACATAAACTTGAAGTTTACCTATCAAGTTGGCAAATCTATTTAACTAAGCTTCTAAGCTTCTAAGTCTTCTTCTAAGAGGGGAGTTCACAGTTGTGTTGGCGCAACAGATGATGACACCATGGTGCCTACGGCTGCAGCTGATGTGTGGCGTCTACACGGCCACTCAGCCTAAACCCTCAACATATACCATGTGATTATCTGTAACGGTGTCACTTTCCCGGTTCTGTGTCATCGTGACCTTTTCGTTCCCACTCCTGTCTGAACTCTTATTGCTCTCATTTCTACTCCTAAGTACAGATACCATGCGTCGTCCATCGGCCGAGGCTATGGCTACCCGTTTCTCTCCCTGTCGTCTATGCCCCCGTTCTGCCCCGAATCTTAGTAGTATAAAATGATGTACCTACCCGTAGTGTTACAGTAGTGTTTTCTGGAAACCCGAATAGCAGAGACTTTTATCCTGTTATTCATCCGATACGCACTCTTCTGCTTGTGTCGTTGTCTTCGAGCCCTATTAGCTAAAGAGTCAACGCCACATCTTTTTTAACATCAAAAAGTCTCTTTACCTCTTTTAAAAAAACTTTTCAACTTCACGTATTGTCCCTGGAACGACTTCAGTTAGGCCCACCGAACAGTACCAACGACGACACACCAAAATAAAAACTATCAAGATGAACCCCCGTTACCCTCTCAGATCCCAACGTTCCACGATCCCCAGCATTGAACCGATGCTACCTGGATCATTAGCTGAGTCCCCATTAACTGAACCGGATACTCACAACAAAACACCCACCCCGTCGCCAATTGCGAGATCATTCTCGCGTATTGGCGACTCCATGCTCAGACCCGTCCGCTCGTACAGCGATGTGGTACGTATGAGGTCCGAATCGCCCCAGCCCAGAACTGGAGGACGATCGGCTAGCGTTGATAGCACTACAAATAGTTACTGTGAGCAGACCAATGTGCTGCATGAATTAAACGACGAACCTAGGGAGAACCCGTTCGTAACTACAAGTGAATCCTCAGCCGAATCTGAGAATAGAACCAGCTGGAGAACGATTAAGAAACATCCCAGCAAGTCCCGAAAGACCACAAAGGCAAGGCCTAAGAAAATTAGCCTGCCCAAGCCTGACTTAGTAAAAGAGGCGGAAAACCAACTTACTGAGGAAGATAAACAGTGTATCTACAATAGGAAGCACGCTGAGGAAGTAGCTCATGACGATGAGCATACATCATCCTCCCATGAAGAAGGACCCTCCAAAGGGAAGGGCGTTGACCCAAGGAATTGGGGCAATGTCGATCTAGATGAACCCGAGTTAGATCCCGAAGCCCAGAGAGACGCGTTGGCGACCTGGGCTAAGTCCAAAACCTGGGCCAACGAACGGACCGGTCAACAGACCGAGTCGGACAGCGAGCAGAATGGCCCAACATTCAGTGTGCCCACCGAGCAACAGATAATGAAGTACTATGAGCAAAAGATTCGCTTGTTAGAGGAACGACTCAAGAAAGCGGAGGTACCCACCAGACCCTCCAGAAACAAACCCACGGTCAGGATCACCAAAAGATCCACTAACCATCACCCTGTACGGGAGATGGTTGAAAGGGTGACCGGCTGGTCATCTAAAAAGCAGGGACGAAGGGAAACCCCCCCGGCTATGGATGCCGCAGCCCAGATAGCTCCCAAGAGCTATCTGGGGCGAGCGTTTAATAAAATAAACGTCAGAAAGGGGAAAGAAACCATACCTAGCTATCTACTTGAGAGTGAATCCACGGAGACGTCATCTGAACAGTCGTCAGACGCGCGATCCACAACAACGACCGCCTCCAGTGAGAGCAAAGGCAGTCCGTCAAGCTCCTCGGACGAGTCCTCAGGGAAAGCGTCTAAAAACCGCCATAAGAACAATAAACGCAAAACCAAAAAGAAAACTACCTTAAAACCAATACCCCCAAGGGAATATGATGGGTCGGTTGATCTTAGGGCGTTCCACCGATTCATAACAGAAGGAACTGCGTATGTAGAGGATGGCAACGTACCTCGTAAGCGACAAGTATTCATCCTGTCGCACTATCTGCAAGGAAAGGCACATGAATTCTATTTGAGGCAAGTGTCAGACCAACCGGGCAAATGGAGAATAAAGGAGTTCTTCACCGAATTGTTTGACTACTGTTTCCCCCTGGATTTCCGAACAAAACAACGAAAGAAGTTGTATCGCTGTTACCAAGGAGACAAACGCGTTCGCGATTATCTGTCAGAATTAAACGAACTATGGATGACCATAGGAGACACACTGGAAAGAGAAAAGGTCGTAAAGTTCTGGTTCGGGCTGAACAACAATATTCAGAACGAGCTATACAAAATGCACCTTAACCCGGAGGTATCTACTCTACATGAGGTACAGCAGACGGCCGAAATCATTGAGCTAGCTGAATCGGCAGTGACGAATGGCAAAAGCCACGATGAGGGATCCAAATCAACTAAAAGGGGGACTAAAGACCCTAAAGGTCGCCAACAGAACCAGCCGGGGGGAGAAAACACCCACCAAGGGTCATCCAAGAATGGCCAAAGGGCTAAGGACAAACAGCCGCTCGGATCCAACCAATGAGACCGAGGATACAAGCCAGCACCTGGCAAGAGACCCGAGCGCCCCAGGGAGGAGAAACTGAGCCGAGAAGAACATGACAAGTTAGTATTGGAAGGGAGATGTTTCATCTGCAAGGAGCCGGGACATATGTCCAGGCAATGCCCCAAGCGGACAAATGTGCCTTCCGGTCGAAGGGATAGACCCCCTGGCGTGCCCAATTACGCCGTGCACATTGAGACACCCCAAAGGGACGAGGACGACGGCACTGAGTTGATAAGCGAGATCCCATTGTGTGGCATTGTGTTAGGATACGACGACCCCAAGCAATCTATACAACGCACCTGGGGTATAGTAGATGAGCCTCTAGGCGACCCAACCGCTCGTTGGGTGGAACAGGTACTGAGACAAAGTGTCCCGTATCCCGGCGATGACCTGACCAATGATGAGACATTTTCGTCAGAAAGATTCCTGATCTATCGGGTGTCGGAAACTCACCATGTCATAATGGATCAAGGATCCCATCTCAGGGAGGATATCGAAATCCCATCGTCCCTACTGGCAAAACCAGAGTTTTTCGTCAGTGATTGGTATGTGAGACGGCTGTCAGCACCTCTGCACTTACCTATCTCGCTGAGACGTTGCATGCAGCGGCGAGTACCCACGGGGGACTCTATCCCTGACCGTGTAGTGTCACTACTGAATGCCGAAACCCAGTTCCCAGGGGAACCGGGCAAGGATCGGTTCCAATGTCAGCGCTTGCACCAGGGAACTGAAATCACCTACAAGGTTTACGACCAAGAATTAAACTTCTGCGTAGAAGCTTGTGAATCGCTTTTCCACAATGAGAAGCTAAGTCTGACTCACTGGTATGCAAGGCAGCTACTCAAGGGCTATCAACAACTCAACAAATTAATGTTGAGAAAGGAACTCGAGTGGGAGAACAATCACTTCCGGCTGCTAGAGGCGGGCGAACTCAGCCCATTGGATTGTGCATTAGAGGACGTAGTCCACCAACTCTTCGCCATACCCGGCATGCGTTTCGAGCAAACAATGCATCAGTACCGGCTGGTCGAACTAAATGGGCAGCAGGTAGCCCTGGGGAAGTACCCAGCGATTCAGCGAAATGCGGCTGTAACTCGAGACTTTAGGCGTTTGATACCTAAACCAGTGGTAGTAATGGCTCACATAAATGGTTGCCCCATAAGGGTGCTCATAGACACCGGCTCCTTGGCCGATTTCATGTCATCTACCTTAGCAGATCAGTTGAAGATCAAACATATCCAACTGGAAAAACCCCTTACCATTCAGCTAGCCGTGCAAGGCTCCAGGTCCAAGGTTAACTTTGGGGCCAAGGCCCAGTTCGCTTATCAGCGAATCAAGGAAGAGCGCTTCTTTGACATAATCAACTTACAGAATTATGACCTGATCCTGGGCACCCCGTTCTTGTTCCAACACCAAGTGTCGGTGGGTCTGAACCCGTCTCACGTGGTGGTGGGGAGCGATAAGGCGTTGCCGGTGCGGGGAGAACAGGTGTCGGTTCTCGAATCCAGAGCTGTGGGGGCCGATGAGGAGAACCTGGAACATGCTCGGCAACAGCTAATGGAGTGGGCAAGACCACTATGCGCAAAGGCCAGCCAGACCGGATTGCCTCCACTACGGGTGATCAATCACACGATCCCACTAATAGATCCTGAAAAGGTCTATAAGTGGCGTCCATCGAGGTGCCCGGAGCCATTGAGACCCCAGTGGGGTGAAAAGCGTCAGGTGTACCTAGCGTCGGGGCGATGGCAGATGACCAGTGCAGGCAACACTGTACCCATGCTCTTTATCCGGAAGCCAGGGACGGATAAGCTGTGAACTGTCGTAGATTTGCGTGAGCGCAATAAGAACACAAAAAAGTTGTCCTCACCTTTGCCAGACATAGACGGCATACTGAGGCGGGTTGCCCGCAAGCGCTACCGGTCAATCATTGACGGACAGGATGCCTACGAGCAAATACAGATCATACCTGAACACGTCGAACGCTCCACGGTAACGACACCGGATGGAAACATGGTCAGTACCGTACTACAGCAGGGAGACTGCAACGCACCGGCTACCTATCAAGCATTAATGAATCACCTGTTCGGGGAGTTCATAGGCCGATGGCTGGACGTATATCTCGACGATATAATTATATACTCAGATTCCCTAAGGGAACACAAGGAACATGTCAGAAAGGTACTGGGAATCCTAGAACGAGAGAAACTTTACCTAAGTGAGGGCAAGCTCCAGTTCCTCTGCAAGGAACTGAAGATCCTGGGTTGTGTGATTGACGATGAGGGTATTTGCATGGACCCCGCTAAGGTGGACAAAATCTTGGCCTGGAAGACACCTACGAACCGGGATGCCCTGAGGAGCTTTCTGGGAGCAGTAGGGTTCCTCGCGGATGATATCTATAATGTTAGGGTTCCTCGCGGATGATATCTATAATGTTAGGGTGCCAATGGGCACCTTATCTGAAGTCACGGGTGACACAGTGCCCTTCCGGTGGGACTACACACAACAGCGGGCCTTCGATGAGGTTAAACGTTATGCTGCTAATTGCGTGAAGCACTCACGGGTGTTACAACTTGGATGGTATCTGTTGGCGACGCTCAAACAGAGCGTGTGTCGTCAACGGTCGAGGACGTCCTTGGGCTGGCCCAAGGTTAGGGGTCTTACTTGGCGAGGTTTCGGCAAGTAAGATTTGACGCCTATGTCCAAATTGGGTAGCTTATGTCAGGCGGGTGCGAGACGATAAGCTAAATCGGCCTAGGCTTACGACACCCGAAGATTAATCGTAAGGATCGTCGTTAATTAGAAGGACAGAAGTCCGACTAGTTAACAGGGGCTTTGCTCGTTGACGAAGTCGATGAGTAAAGGTCGAGACTATAGGCTTATCCGTGATGAGCAGATAAGAAGATAGAATATAGACTGCTGGCGAGGCAGAAGGATCACTCTGGTGAGAGTAGGAGGTCAAGAACCAAGTAGATTCAAGTTAGGGAATATGGTACATGGTAGCGAGTTTATATAGAGGACAGGGGACGTATTAGTGGATGATAACTCGTACTACCGGGAGAGGCAATCGGTAAAGGGTAAAACCATAATAGGAAGGCACGTTCGATCTAGGTAGAACGTGCTGGATAAGAAAGTGAGTCAAAGATCGGAATGAGAAGTGAAACACGCAGGGGCACGATCGTGCAACTGCGGATCTAAGTATAAGTCGCATGTGCGACTGCGCACCGAGTCAGAGATCAAGAAAGGAAAATAGGGCAAAGGGGATGCGTCATGCATCGTGTCATAGGTTACCGTCCTGACGGTAAGGGCAAGGGGACTGTCCACAGGATCAGTCAGGTGGTGAAACGGAGCATGGGTATGCTTCGTCAGCGAAAGGATCCGGCCAAATGTACTGGCTGTGCTGTAGTGACAGGTAGAGGGCGAAAGGGAATGCGAGGATGACGAGGATGACAAGGGTGAGGTCGGGGTAAGGGTATGATGCGAGGGCTGATACGAGGAGGATCAGGAGGAAAATAGTAGGGGCCCAAGCGTCTAGATGTTCTTGTAACAATGTGCGACTGCGCACTGAGTCAGAGATCAAGAAAGGGAAAAGGGCAAAGGGGATGCGTCGTGCATCATATCATAGGTTACTGTCCGGACGGTAAGGGCAAGGGGACTGTCCACAGGATCAGTCAGGTGGTGGAACGGAGCATGGGTATGCTTCATCAGGGAAAGGATCCGGCCAGATGTACTGGCTCTGCTGAAGCGACAGGTAGAGGGCGAAAGGGAATGCGAGGATGACAAGGATAACAAGGGTGAGGTCGGGGTGAGGGTATGATGCGAGGGCTGATAGCAGAAGGATGAGGAGAAAAATGGTAGGGGCCCAAGCGTCTAGATGTTCTTGTAACAATGGGTACCCCTCGATTATAGCGAGGGAGCCGACCCCATCTGGCTGATGTCGGATGCTAGCGGGAAAGGCGTAGCCAGCGTGATCGCGCAGGGTCCAGACTGGAAGACGGCTCGTATTGCGGCCTTCTATAGTGCCAAACTTAGTCCTGCCCAGCAGAACTACCCTGTCCATGAACAGGAGATGCTGGCTGGAATGGAAGGCATGATGCACCACCGTTGTCCTGCATGATGTGGGAATCATGCATGGACATGAATACTAGGTGACCCTCAAAAGATAAAGTCTGTTAGCTTAGTCCTCAGACTAGTCAACCCATACCTTGGTTTCAAACCATGGTCCATATTTCCAGTTTTCCCCAAGTTTCATGATCTGAATACGTTTTGACGGAAAAAGTCTAATGTGAGATGGGAATCACATTTAGACCTAGTTGATGTGAGAAGGGAAATGAAGGTTAAGGTATAGCCTTGCCTTTGGCTTATTCACTTTGGCTAGAGAAAACCATAGAGAAAAGTACAAGACCAATAAAAAACCTATCCAAAAAGACCGTGTTTCAATTCCTGCCAACTGCATTATTTTTTTGACTGTGTTTCAATTCCTGCCAACTGTCTTATTTTTGCTACCTACTTTTCTCTAGTGTTTCTTTACTTTACTTTTTCATTAGGATGCTTTGACTCACCTGACACTTCATAAAATTGTACCCATAGGGTATGATGTCATTATGATGTCATAAGACTCCACAGATACTCCTGCAGGTATTCTGTTGAAAAATATTATGTCATCAAGCTCTAGATTATTCTACTCTACAATGACATCATTCATGATGTCATTTCCTTCTAGAATATTCTGCTCCACAATGACTCACTCTGACTCACTCATGGAAGGTTCTGGAATCTTTTGCTCCACAATGATGTCACTCTTGATGTCATTATGATGTCATTACTCCACATTCCAGAATGTTCTGCTCCACAATGATGTCATAGCTCCATCTTTCACTTGTATTTTAATCTTTTATTGGGTTTGACCCAATATTTTGATTGGTCCTCCTTATTTTTTATTGTTTGTGAACCTAGGTTACTTTCCCACACAAAATGTATATAAGGAGAGCCCATTCTCCCCCCCAACAAATATGATCTCCCATTTGTAGCAATCTGCCTATCAGATATTTCACTTGCAAAGTTAGTTCCTTTGAAGTGAGACAAGTGCAGGGAAAAGAATTCCCTTGAGATTATAAGTTTCTTACCTTAGAAACTTATTTAGTGCTATAGACCAAGCATTCTTGGTCACATATATTGTCTTTGAGACCCTTTTGTCTCATTGCTCTGTGCCCTTTGACTAAGCGATCTTAGTCATCTATCATATTGTTGAGACCACGTCTCACTAGTTGTCCCATAGACCAAGTGATCTTGGTCAAGTTATAGTCCCCTTTGTTTAAGCGATCTTGAACATATATTGTATATTTGAGACCATTGTCTCACAGTCAGGTGTCCATAGACCAAGCGATCTTGGTCATATTTCGTATATTTGAGACCACATCTCACTAGTTCCAGTATCCAAGTCCAGAGCCTAGAAGGAGATTTCCTAGGCAAATACATTCCAGAAACCGAATTACGTGTCTAGAAGCTTATTCCTAGACAAGAGATTTGAGTTTCAATAAAGAAAAGTAAAGCTCCGGCTAGGTTGATCTTTATAAAAAGATTAGTTTAGCGAGCCTCCCAAGAACTCACACGTTATCTACCATGAAATAGGAAAAGTCGTAGACCGTGTTAATCGAGGACTGGCAAGCAGTCTTATCCAAAGTGTAATTGTGGTGTCATTACATTTACACGACTTTATATAAGACCCTCGGTTATTAAGACACCGTGACATCTTGCAGGGTGCCAAGTTTATCTGGCTGACAGACCACAAAGGACTGGTGCACCTGCTGGAACAGCGTGATCTGTCTGGGCGGCAGGCTAGATGGGTCGAGAAGCTGGGTGATTTCGACTTCGAAATCTGTTATGTCCCAGGGATTGAGAACATTTTACCAGACGCACTGTCCAGGATGTACTCATGGGACCAGCCGGGCACCATGCGATCACCTAGTGAGTTCACAGAATACGATGATAACGGGAACCCACCGTCAATCAACGCACTGGGGACCATCTCCAGGCCCCTGCTGGTGGGTTTGGAGGCCAATGCAGTCGCACCACCTAGGCAGAGCATCCGCCTGGCGAAGGCAGGCGAGACTAGGCCCAACCATAGCCCCTCGAAGGAGGCAGGTAAAGGGAGGTTAGTCAAGGGCTTTAGACCCTCCCCGGAGGATCGCGACGAGGTTATCCCGGCAGATAATGCAGGATGCCTCACGAAGGATCGCGACGAGGTTATCCCAGCAGATAATGCAGAATGCCTCATGAAGGATCGCGACGAGGTTATCCTGGCAGATAATGCGGGAAGCCTCACGAAGGACTGAGATGAGGTTATCCTGGCGGATAATGCGGGGAGCCGAAGGAAGGATCACAACGGGGTTATCCCGGCAGATTGTACTGGGGGCTCCAGAACTCCCAGTGGTAGTCGCGGGCGCGTGACAGTGATGGGTGGTCAACAACCCCGCCGGAAGACTGAGGTCGCGCCAGCCGAATCAGGACGGCCTGAGATGGCAGCAGAGTTCGCCAGGTGAATGGCAGGGCATTTCGTCCTTAAGGGACCCAAGGAGCGAAAAGAGGGGGGGGAGACAGGGCAGATCCCTGTCAAACACCCCATCACTGGCAGCCCAGAAGGCCCTGAATGTAAGGGAGAGGCGCACACTGAGCCTCTGATAACCATGCAGGCAGGATACCCTGCGGAGGACGAGCTAATAGCCGGTATAAAGGATCAGTACCCCAGGGACCCATTCTTCAAACAGATTCTGGACTCACCAGCAGAATATCGGAACTTTGAGGTCAATGGCGGCCTAGTGCGCATCCGCCTGAAGAATAAAGCATTGTTATGCATACCAGACGTTATGCTAAGGGAACGCACCATAAGGGAAATAATAATATCCCAAGCTCACTCCCTACTGGCACACCTGGGGGCCGCTAAGACACTAATCTACTTACGAGACCACATATGGTGGAAAACAATGGCACAGGATGTTAATTCATTCTGTGCGTCCTGCATGACCTGCAAAAGAAGTAAGCCCTCGAACCAGAAGCCATATGGCTTACTACACACGCTCCAAGTACCCAAAAGACCATGGGACTCTGTGGGGATCGACTTCATTGGGCCCCTGCCAATCTCAAAGGACCGCAATGGTGAATACGATGCCATCACGGTGATAATAGACCGACTTACCTCGATGGTACACCTAGTACCCAGCCGAACAAACTATATGGCGCGAGAGGTGGCAGAACTTGTCTTCGCCGAAGTGTACAAGCATCACGGGCTACCCAAGTCAATTGTCAGTGACCGAGACGTATTGTTCACAAGCACATTCTGGACTCACCTGAATGCCCTGATGGGAATCAAGCAAAACATGTCCAGCGCTTACCACCCTGAGTCGGACGGAGCAACGGAGCGAGCTAATCGAACGGTAACCCAGATGCTCAGATCTATAGTATCACCGTCCCAGACTGACTGGGTATCCAAGCTACCTGCGATCGAGTTCGCTATTAATCTGGCAAGCTCGGAAACAACTCTACTCTCACCTTTTGAGGCTAATACTGGGCGCACACCCAGGGTGATGGTGTGGAATAACCCGACAAAGGACGAATATCCCAGTGTGCGGGCCTACCTACAAAAGATGAAGCTAGCCCAAATGAGCGCCCATGACTCCATGCTCGAGGCACGTGTGAAACAAACATGACACGCCAACCGACGCCGTCAGATATGTCCATTTAAGGAAGGAGACTTGAGTTATGTGTCGACAAAGAATATGACACTGCCAAAAGGACTTGCACGCAAGCTTATACCCAAATATGTTGGACCTTACAAGATTCTTCGGGACTATGGCAACAACTCATTCATGCTTGACTTACCTAATCAGATGCGCAGCCGGGGTGTTCATCCCGTATTCCACTCTTCCCTGCTCCGCATACACCTGCCCAATGATGACCGAAAGTTCCCGGGACGGTCAGACACCCAAGTCTTGAACCTTGGTGATGCACAGGAGCCCGAATGGGCTGTAAGCAAAATCCTATCGCACATGGGATCCCAGGAGGAGGCCATCTTCGAGGTGGAATGGAAAGCCGGGGACGTCACCTGGTTGCCCTATGCTAATATAGCGCACCTTGATGCATTAGCTGAGTATCTGGATTTAATTGGTGTCACTAACATCAATAACTTGCCAGAGGGAAAGGGGACGGCCCCTAGCGACGAAGCCCGATCATTCTTAGGGCAGGTCTCGCTTGGGGGCATAAATACTGGACTCACCCCCAAACCCATGAAACTCACGATAAGGGAACCCCGATTATCCTTATTCCCCACCGCATCATCACCTTCTTCACTCCCCTCTCACTCGTGGTTTGCCGACACCGAAACCGAACTCTTCACGATGACCATTCTTCCTGATGAGGGCGACCTGCTCTATTTCGCCGGGCAGGACCGCGACATCCTCATCAGCAGCCCGGAGGGAAACGAAGGGCCCTACCTCGTCACCCACGACCAGCTCAAACTCTTCGCGAATTACTCCCTTGCTCTCCGAAACAGATCCCCTCGTTCGCGCCCCCCGGCTCCATTGGGGTATGCTTTCTTCGCCCATGCTTTCAATAGCAAAGGGCTGCACTCCTCGGCCTCATACCTCGACGAGCAGGGCGCAGTTGTGAGCACCCGCGCCGCCATGGAGGTGGCTGACATCATCGGAGAAGAGGACGATGTAGAGATTACCATGTCACCCACCCGCATGGAGCAGATGGAAAAGATGGTTTGGCAGACGGCGGTGAACGCAACCCACCAGCGCGAAAAGATCGAGGCGCGTCGCGCAGCACAGCGGAAGGAGAAGAACTACGGGAGGAAGCAGGACCAAAGATTGAATAAGAAGGGGTTGGGAAAGGTCAGGAAGGACGCCGGCCTGCCCACTACATGTCCGGGCGCCGTCGCATCAACCAGTGGCGCCAATGAGCCGGAAGAACCTTTGGCTGCGATGGAATAGTAGGCCTTATGGGTGTCAAGGGAGACTAGGGTCTCCCTGGAGGGGGAGATGTAACGGTGTCACTTTCCCGGTTCTGTGTCATCGTGACCTTTTCGTTCCCACTCCTGTCTAAACTCTTATTGCTCTCATTTCTACTCCTAACTACAGATACCATGCGTCGTCCATCGGCCGAGGCTATGGCTACCCATTTCTCTCCCTGTCATCTATGCCCCCATTCTGCCCAGAATCTTAGTAGTATAAAATGATGTACCTACCCATAGCGTTACAGTAGTGTTTTCTGGAAACCCGAATAGCAGAGACTTTTATCCTGTTATTCATCCGATACGCACTCTTCTGCTTGTGTCGTTGTCTTCAAGCCCTATTAGCTAAATAGTCAACGCCACATTATCATACCTCACTTATATTTTTCTGATTCTACTTTACAGTTCCGAGTTATTCCAGCGCCCAGCGCCTCCATACCCTTTACCCTACGTATTTCACATGTTACCTTACAGAAAAGCCTATAAAAGACCCAGTAGTTAGATAGGTACAGTTGGTGTTCTTGCAACTAAGCTATTACCTGGTGATATTGCCTGAATCATCTAAGTGTTTGCTATTGTGTCTTCAACTCAAGTGTTCCCACTTTGAGCTGTCACCACATATTTTTCACCTTCACCTAGCTTAATCTAAACCTACCCCACTGCCATTCTCAAACCCTAGGTCTGGCAAACCTCTGGTGACAAGTCAGCAAACAACAAACAAGATTCTATTCAACAACAATATGACTACAGTTCACTACGAACTGCAACCTGTTAACCAATGCACCAGGACAATATTCCCCACTCCAAAGCCTCCTGGCACCATGCCCACATCCCCCTTCGACTCTGCTTTGACCTCCCCAGACAACACTCCCGAATTAGCTGTGCACAACGAGACTAAAACGGAGTCCCCGCCTTGAGAACAGTACAATTGCACAGCAATAATATTACCATGCCTCCTGCTCCCAGTGTAGCAGGCCCAAACTCTGAAAGTGATGAGTCCAACGACGACAGTCGTCCATGGGTCACAGTGCAATGAAAGCATCACTGTGAGGGTGTTAGTTGTGTGGTGACTTCACACTAGATAGGTCGAAGACTTCTAAGACTTCGAAGACTTGAAGGACACTTCAAGGACATTACTATATTAGTAGATAACTTCGAGGACTTTGAGGACACTTCAAGGACATTACTATATTAGTAGATAACTTCGAGGACTTTGAGGACACTTTGAGGACAGACCTCTAAGACACTTCGAGGACACATACCATACTAGGAATTGTTTATATTTGTTTACATAGACTCGCCCATAGTGCAGAGTTCACAAGTCTTACATGCTTTGTGCATTGACTTTGAACTCTCAGGTATAGTACTTTACTTATTTACACAATAATATCATGTGCATTGACTTTGAACTCTCAGTTATTCTAACAGATTCAACATCTCTTACTCTTCAAAGTGCCTTGTTGCACATATCGAGTCACCCACTTAGCCTTTCATTACTCCATTGTCCCTCAATATGTGTTGAGTCCCTCACTTAGGAATTTTTTCTGATAAATCTTGAGAAGGCAGGCATCGTATAAAGTACAGGTGAGTCTTGGATTATTTCCCTACCCATTCCTTCTTTCTGCTTCTTTGGTTTAGCCATGCCTCGCACCTTTGCTAGCCCTAGTAAAAAGAAAAGGCCAGCAAAGTGCAAAGGTTCAGATGCCACCAAGAATGTAACAAAAAAGTGATGGGGACAAGAGACCAACATTGAAGCATCCAGCATGCCCCTTGTATCCCTTGGTCTTGCTGATGCTGACGCTCCTCAGTGTTCTATCTGCTCCAATGCAGAAACAGGAGGTAGGACCGCACAGTTGGAAAGGATAGGTGCTTTGCTAGAGGCTCCATCTTGAACCAACCAACACAAGGGCTCAACGTCGTTCAGTTACAACATCCCCATCAATCCTCAGGCTCCTGAACCGACTCGCAGTTGCAAGGGCCAAAGAATTCATTCAAAGGTCTGTTGCATAGTGACCCTGTTACTTGCACTGATAGTTTGCATTCAGGCAGCTCCACCACCTTACACTAATGTCCCAGACACCTCCGAGTCATGCATCAATGTCAGTATTGTGGAGTTCTCACAGCCACCAGGTTTCTTATTGCATTAACAAGGAGCTAGGTTTGGATTTGCTGATAATTCGCCTATTGTCCCTCCCGAGCCAAATATGAACAATCCTTGTGATGTTGTTGGCAGGAATGTTCCCAAGAAGTTTTCCAAGAATACTGATATTGGCCATACTAGAGCACCACCAACTACCGGCTTTTCAGAACAGATGCTAGACCCAGTGCTACATGATACAAGCCAGGCTAAGTTTCAATTAATTAGAGTACATAGCAGTGCTAATAAAGAAGACAGGGATGAAGAAGAAAATGAAGATGATAAAAACAATGAAGATGATGAGGACAATGAAAATGATGGAGACAACCCAAACAATGGAGACAAGGAGAATGTGGGCCCAGAGGGAGAGATGAGAGAGCAGGAGATTTGTTGGGGGGAGGTTGGTAGATGTCAATGCAACCATCCAGGTAATGTTCTTACACTTATGACTCTCATTCTGCCATGGCAGCAGCATATCAAGATTAGGCAATGATGCCTTACTGATATGAATTTACAGGGTTTTCCAGGGAAGAGCTCCCTTCATGTACCCGCCTCCCTCCAAGTCGCTGTCTTACGCCTGAGTTCGAATTTACATTCTCCCATGACAAGGACAACACAGCAGCCCAGACAAGTCTCACTAACTCCACAAGGCGACCTGGAATGGAGTCTCAAGGTCCTTCCTCATATGTCCAGCAGCATGACACTTCCCAAGTATGTGATGTCTAGATTTATTTGTACTGTGCTGAGCGCTTTTAATTCCTTTCAAGGGCCTTCCGGATCGTGCGCAAGGAGTGCAACAACTGCAAGATGCTGAGATGAGGAGATAGTATCTCAATTTAAACAAACAAAGCTCATGATTTTATCAACCATCGCCTCGAAGCCCCAGGATGTCTTGATGCATCATCATGAAACAAACGGACAGCCCTGACTACTTGACCCTGACACTCTGGAGCTCTTGCATCAAGCAATGAGGTCCAACAAGCCGACTCAGTGTTCCAAAGTCCAAGGATCAAAGAAACCCAGTAATGGACCAAAGCCTACTCAACTTGCCTGGTACAGGCCATGCTGGAAAAGTTTTCTTGAGGATGTTAAAGGCAAATGTCACACAATTCACACATCGGAGAATCCATTTCTGACCCTCGTCAAAGATCTATCAGTCTCTGTTGCTGAGGTTCTGGTTGCAGTTTTGATCACATGGGATAAGGACGGTAAAAAATTTGAGGATGGTAAGCACTCATTTGTGTTTTGAGTTGATTTATTTTGATACTGTGCTACAGGGATTTGGCCAGAGCATAAGCCTGACATGGAGCGGCTGGTACATATTTTATTCATCACTTGAGGCCTCACTGATTTATTTTGGACCTATACTATAGTTGTATGATGATCTGACTTGAAGAAGACTGTTATGAGCATTGTGCCTGTACAATACTCACTCATCCCTCCACCTTCTGTTCCTGCTCAACAGTCTGCAGGGTGGATCAAAACTGCTGCTGTTGCATTACTTGAAAATTCACTTTTCTTGTGTCATGGAGTTGATAGAATGGTAAATGAACTATCCCAAACCTTGACTATACTAAGGAAGAACACTAGGGAAAAACAAGAAACTTTGCACATCTGGCGCTTCGGGAAGGTGTTATCGCTTTTTTTTTACACTGGACCATATCAAATTACAATGAGGCAACCAGATATTTTACGGAACCAGCTGCCCTTATCATGCTTGGCTCTGGTTGGTGCTGCAGTATTTTCCTTCTCCTCTACTAGTACCTGAATGTTGACTTTCCTTTATAGTTCAATTGTATCTTGGATGGTCTCAAAAAGAATGGTAATGGAAAATATTACCCTAAGTTCACTGCAAATGAATATGGCCCTATATACCGCAAGATGCTCCAGCTACTGAGTGACATCATGAAGGATTGTTACCATGGCCCTGTCATGTTAGCGCAGCTCTGGGAATGGGCCCAAGCGGGGTGGTAAGTCATTCATTTTGTTTTAAAATTATGATATTAATTTTATTTATACAGGGCCAAACTTTTGAAGGTTGATGGAGATGTAGGGGCAAGTCATGACCACCTGCAGATTTTTCTCGATTAAGTCCACATATTTCTGCTCTGCTTTTATCCTAGTTTTTGTGTATATCTGTTATCATAGTTGATTATCTCGATCTTTTATCAGCATGTTATCAATATGATCTAATCTGCATGGTATCAATGTGTGATTAATTTAGGCTACTAGTACTGTGCATGAGTGAGTATCTGTGAGTATCTGTGAGCATCTGTGCAGAGTGCAACAGAATCAGCGCTTCTGTGGGCCTCTGTCCAAAAGCGACCAATCTGTTGCACTTAGGCACTGTACAGTGCAAAGTAGTTTACTGATGTAGCTGAAAGCCCTGTATCATTAGCATTATGATCTGCAGGCATGATGACCCTTCTGTTTGAAGGTCTCTCTGGCTTATCTCCACCATTGTTCATATGATGACACTTGGTGCCACTGAAGTTGTGATGGTACCAGTCACAATACCAAAAGTGATCTGTCTTGTACATAGTGACAGACATGAAAGTAATATCTGTCTCCCAGTCAAATACAATTGTGCTTGGTGTAAGAAGATTGGTGTGGTCAACAACAGGTTGTAGGGTATCTAATTTGATGCATATCACAGACTTGACCTTGTCCATGCCTTAGTTTAAGGCAATGCTGATCTGACCCATATCAAGTGTTGGAAACAGTGTCTGAAAAAATGATGTCAGTACCTATAGATATGTCAAATAAACTACCCACTCCATAAGCCATGTGAGGATTGTTTACATTGATGACATTGTTGTTCTCCTTAAGCCAGACAAAATACTTGACCTTAGATATATTAATCTAGTCATGATCCATTGCTTTAATAGAACCAAATAACTTGTCTGCATCTCTGTGTGGTGAAAAGAGGTTGAATAAATAATATGCATATGATTTTGCAGTGAGTAAGGAGAACTTTCTCTATCTTCTTGAGGGCGACACATTTAGATTGAGAGAATACAGTCTCTGTGTATCACAGCACCTCAGTCTCCGCTACCTCTGGGGTGGTAGAGGTTAAAGTGAGTTGCATATCAGGGATAGTGAAGATATCCTCCAAATAAATATGACCAGGTATGATGTTAATCATCAACAAAGATTGTGTGAGCAAGAGGGAATGGAGCTTGCTTGAGATTGCAGATGATATCTTACTTATTGTTTGATTATGAACTGGGTGGGGGAAGTATATAATGAGGATCATGGTGCATGGAAAATACATCATCCTACATCATTCAATTATATATGCATAGATTCACACAATGTTATAAACTAACTTTGCTTTCAAGAAGGAAGTGCATATTATCTCCACTGATTGAGTCAAGCATGGTCACAAATTTGTAAAAAGAAACATTCCAAAAACACATTGGTTCTACTTGTACATGCTAAAGTGCATCTATAATTGTGTTGGTAGATTTGCCTATTCAATCATCGTGAGAAATTCAGTTTCATTTGACATGAGTTGACCTATCTAGACAATGACATTATTCAAATTATTCACCAAACTCTCAGTTGTAAAATGTTCAGCTTCCTTGGGTTTGCCTGAAGCCAAAGTCTGTCATTATTGTTAACAATTAACTAGTTATCTACTTGATATTGTAACAATATCTGCCTAGTTACTAAGTGCTGCCTTGGAAGTTGGACCAAGAAACTGCACTTTTGGTTTGCTAGTAGAGTTAGATTTCAACCAAGCAGTGGCAATTGAGAGTTTAGTTGCTATCTTTGTATCCTCATTGGTCTTCACTTCTGATTTTCTTATGCAAGTAAAGTAGTATGGTGAACTGCTAGTGGAAGATCTGAAAATTGCTGCCATCATACAGTGACCCACAGGTCAAGTGAAATGGTGTGAGGGCGTGCACTGCTGGGGTGCCTGAGAGTCCCATTGCCTTTTGTAATAATGGACACCCAATAAAAAAAAAGGCATGCAAAAACAATTTAATAAACTAAGTCACATGAACAGCCCATCTTGAAATAAGAAGCCCCTGTCTGTATCTATCAAGGACAGTGAAGCGCATAGAATAACTGCTTATTTCAGAACTTGTTTAGAAAAAATTCTGTAAAGTGATTTATACTAGTTTGCACAGTCAATTGTGGCTCTGCTATATCACCAAACTGAGGGATAAGATGGATAGGTGCCTGGATTCAAATGACTCTAATTACATCACTGATCCAATCATCATTTGCTCAATAGGCATGTCATAGAACATACATACTGGTTGATTTATCCAATCCAACCACATCCAAATGTTCAATGTAGGCATAGTATGTATTCCCATATGAAAGTTATGTGACCAGATGAAAAATCAAACTGAGGTGAGTGGTACAATGCCCTACATCTATCATATCAGTAAAATCATGTGTGGATTAGGAGTGGCTCACCTTCAAGACCACACTTTGGCCATTTGGATGTTTTGTCTGTATTGGTTAGGACCAAATCATACCAACCATAGGGTCAATTCTTTGAGGATGGTTCCATCAGTATTGCCTGTGAGGGTTTGAGTCGGTTTGCATCATGGAAGTTTTTTGATTGAATGTGCATCTTACATCAGATTTGGATGTGTTTAAAAAGAAGGAGACAACCAGAGTGAGCTCAGCACCTGCCACCAATGGGGAAGTTGTGTGCCTCAATACAGTCTATATAATCAGATATTACAGGGCAAAGGCCAGGAAGTAAGAAGTGGTTGGCAGCTATATCAATAGCCATCTTTGTAAGGGTAAGTCTGTAGCTAAGATGATAAGCCCCAACAGAGGTTGAGAATGTGCAATAGGAATAAGGTGCCTCTGGATAATCACCATCAATAAGTTGATAGACATGTAAAAATAGTCCTTAATGGAACATTGAATTATCCTGCTATCAATGCTTTCATCATCGCTTTTATTATCAATAGCACATTCTTTCTGTTCATGCATGTAAAGCATAAGATCAAAGTGATCTACTTTATCATGACAGTCAAGGTGGCAACACACTTGTTAGAAGAACTGAGAGTTCAAAGTCAATGCACTTGATATTATTGTGTAAATAAGTAAAGTACTATACCTGAGAGTTCAAAGTCAATGCACAAAGCATGTAAGACTTGTGAACTCTGCACTATGGGCGAGTCTATGTAAACAAATATAAACAATTCCTAGTATGGTATGTGTCCTCGAAGTATCTTAGAGGTCTGTCCTCAAAGTGTCCTCGAAGTCCTCGAAGTTATCTACTAATATAGTAATGTCCTTGAAGTGTCTTTCAAGTCTTCGAAGTCTTAGAAGTCTTCGACCTATCTAGTGTGAAGTCACCACACAACTAACAACACTTGCATATCATAGTTGTGATTATTTCCAGCTCTTGTGGGCACCTTCATAATAATAATATATATGTGTTCAGTTGGATCTGCAGACCCGCATAAGTATGCCAAGTAACCAGATATTTGGCACCACCCCTTGCAGCAATTCTAATTTGAGAATTACCCATGATTTAAACCCACTATCCTTCCCTCTCTGGGTACCTGCATTAATGACACCCTGTTTATATTTGTAGAAGAGTTAAAGACAGTTATCCAACTCTATTAGAGTTTCATCAGAAAATTGTGGAGCTTGGGCAAGATATCTGAATTCAAGAAGGGTCCAGATGGCCATTATGAATTAGGTAGGAGCAGTACCAGCAATAACATCAACAATATAATATTGGATATTGTAATGATCTTGGCCCAAAGTTTGCTTTAAATTAAAGATCCCTTCTTTGAAAGTACAATATCTGGTACACATCTGAAGTAAGGAAAAACAAAAGTTGATCTCTTTGACACCGACTACATCAATACACTAGGCACAGTCATGGTCAAAGAACATTTTGTAAAAATGATGGAGTGACTCCAGTGTCAAGAAAGAAGAAGGATCTGCAGTGATACAATCCATCCAAAATAGTTGTTGGATGTCATTCAAGTGGTATTGCTTGCACTCCTTAAAAAATGCCATGAGTCGGATGGAGAGACAGAGGCGACAACTTTTCAAATATTAGCAAGTGTAGATCAGCTTTTATGAAAAGGATGACGGTCTGGATTCCCAAAGTTGGTACATGTAGCCATAGTGAAAGGTAATGCATTCATGGTTATGCATGCAATGACAAGCTCCTCTGGAGTATTGACTATATAAGCAACAAGGGGCATGAAACAATATCTACTGAACCTCACTGAATCACTCATCATGATGCCTAGGTGTGCAGTTTGCTTTAATGATTTAATCACAATGTCGATGTATTGATGAAGTAACTGGTCTGCCAGAACACTATGCATGCATTTAACCTTATGAATAAACTTTGCAACAGGAAGTAGAGTGAGAGGGATATATGCCTGGAGGAATCCTTTAGCACATACATTAGGGTCGATATTGGCAAGAATGATAAGAAGAAGATAGGCATAGTGGTTGCCAGCAAGGTTGCTGACCTTGGTTTTATCTAAGGAGAGGACCACACCAAGTAGGGTCACATCATTAGGCAAATCTTCCTGTACTGTTGGTTAGCTATGCTAAAGAAGTCGAGAGTTGAACATACCTGAAGTTTCCAAGCATGGTCACCAGTTATGAAATTATAGTAAATATAAATAGTATGTTTTACTTCAGCATAGACTTTGTGTAGGATGAAATTAAAACTATTGGCCAACATAGGGTGGCTAAGAAGTTTCTGAAGGCACTCAATTGGATTCCAGTGTGAAGAGTAAATCTCTGCTGGGCTCAGCAGAAATGGTACTACCTAGACAACAATATTTAGGTAGATCTCCAGCACAACCTCACAACCTATGCTGCTATACTTGCAGAGCAAGTGTGTTTGATCCTAAAGGGATTGCTAATTGATATCAGTAGTATAAATGTGTCAGTAATGCAAATAATGAATGTCTGAAGCTAAGAAACAATGTCCGAAGGTAATCTGATGATGTCCAAGGATACTTATCCGATGTCTGAAGCCAAAGTGCGATGTCTAAGATTTCAGACTTTCAGACTTCACGAATATAGGTCGGAAACTATGTAATGAGTATTGGGTTGTGAGCGGTATTGCAAGAGTAACAAATGGTGTATTTGTGACAGTGAAAGAACAGTAATACTTCACAAATCAATCAAGAACTACGAAAATATTCTGAAAGTGACCCAGCTACAGGTGGATGGATAAGTAAGAGTCACTATAGAGTATTTATCTATCTATGTAGGAAACCGGAATACCATAGGCAAAGGTAGTAGCAATAATTTTCAAGTCCGATATTCTATGTAATAAGACATGAGGTACTGCGGACTATGGGAAAACATGTAATAACACTGTCTACACTGTTAACAATGAAGATAAGACTAAGTGTGTACCTAGTAGGGGCTAGCAGGATGTGACTGGACATAGGTGTGACAATATCCGATGATGTGTGATGATGTCCAATGTCCAATGTGATGTCTGATGTGGTGTCCGATGGAAAGTGCAAAATTCTGAAGCTAAGTGTGTTGGATCCAATGCAAAAAGGCTTGGACATGTGTGGAAATGTGTCAGACATGTTTAGGAATGATTCAGAGATGTTGCGGATGATTTGAAATGAGTAGTGTTTGACATATATGTTGAAAATGCTGGTTTTGAGCTCAGTGCAAGGGCCATCATTATACTGGTAAAATATCCAAAGAGTTTTTGTCGTTGGGAACTCCGTAGGGACTATTTGATATTTTCATTGAGGTGGAGATGGCAGCATTTTAGCACATCCTCTGAGCTCTCTCGAAGAGTAAAATGAAAGCAGTAGTTTTCTGCTCTAATTTTACCTGAGTTCAAACATTCTTAAATGCAACACAAATAGACTCACAAATTCAAGCTTGAGGAACTCATCAATCTCTGTCATACTGAGGTCTGACTAAATAAGGAATGCCACCATCTCCCAGTCTGGTTTGCCAGTAAATGGAAAATATGGATTGCTCATGTTTTCCTTAGCATAAGTGTCAGACTCAAATTGCTTCATGAATGTGGTTCCTCTAGCCCAGGTTCTTGCCACACCAACGTAAAACACCACTTCTTCCCCATCATCAGCCTTTATACCAGTATACCCATCTTCTGGCCAAGGATGATCTTTCATCATCTATGCATCATTCATTTCATCTTCTGGCAGTGAGGCTTGAGATTCTTAGGGTTGTACTGATGGTCCTGAGAAGCAAATTAAGTTATCATTCCAACTGAAACATCATAAGATAGGTTGATGTAGATGTTGTAGAACAATTTTGTCATTCAGAAAGCACTTTCTACATGAAGGGCACCGCATGCTACTCAATATGTGGTATTGATTGGAGTATTGAGTATATTCGGTAATTTGCAGAGTAACTTCAATAATAGCTACAATGTCCTCATTAGATCAATCACATTCTCCATCTCCTGCTATCCATCTGAATTCTCATTTCCTCATAAGCAATTTCTCATCTTTATATGATTTAGACTGATTTCTCTCTGTGTTGTCTATTTTATCTTATTTTATTTAGTTCTGTTTCCCTCTATTTGTTTCCCTCTGACTGTTTATTTCTGTTTGATTTTCAGATTTGTTTGTCAGTATCTCATGTGACTGGTGTCACAACCCAATAATGAATTAACGCTGGGCAGAGACTAGGACTCGGACTAAGGTTATCACAACAATGAAAAGAGGAGCAGGTACGTCTTGGATTGCTACAGTTGTAGATACAAGAGGTTTGAACTAAAGAACTATCGACCAAGACATGCTACCTATATACAACTATTGAAACGAAGATTGAAACTGAGATATAACTACTAGCCAATCATAAAAAGGAAAAGGGAATCGTACCATAGAACATCATAGAATATGAAAGAAGTATCACGTGACCATATCTTATCTTATCGTATCTAATCTAATCTATTCACAATCAAAGAACTCGTCTTCTTCATCAGTCACATCAAAGACATGTGTCGTGGGCGCTAAAGGTATTTTGGGAATGATAGACGTTTTCAAGATAGGGTTAGGGTTTGATTTAGGCACTGTATATTGACGCTTAGGAAGATTTAGGAAAGAATAATGGTTTGTTAAAGGTACTTGTAACAACTGGGAAATAATCTGATTTATAACAACATTCACATGACTCATCATGTTTTGTTATGATTTGTCATGCTTTATAAGATCTTTGTAGGACTCTGAACCTTATTTATAATCTATCTAGTAAGAAAAATGATTCAGCATAGCCAAATGGTATGTTTTATAGTAAGCTATTGAGCTATTACAAAAACTAATAAGCTGCAAATATAAGAAAGCTACTGAATCCTAGAAAGAAGAGCTACCAGAAATATAACTGAAAGTCTAGCTAATGGTGGAGGATGCCAAGAGAGAACATATAGAATTACATCTTTGGTCTTGGCAGCGTTGGACAACCTTCATATACATTGATAGGAGTAGCATTGATTAGGGGAGACACAAATCTGTCAAATAGCAACCTTATCTCCCTAAACATAAGAGGATAAAATAGGTAGTTCAGCCAGTATTTGAATTTTGCAACCTTGATGTGTAGGTAGAGGAGAGTTAATTCTTGCTGACCTGCATGGAGGCAGTGTAAGAATTCTATTATTAATAAGAAAGTTGGCATGATACCAAAAATGTGATTGCTGGGCAAGTCTGCAGCTGGCCAATCAGGAACTCATATGGAAAACACCACCATGACCATATAGGACTAAAAAGCTATAGATGATCCCAGATATGTAATGTTATGTGACCATTGGTATAATGGAAGCAATACCTGTAAGTCCCTTATCCAAAAAAATAATGTATTCATAGTATGCTTCCACTTGAGCCTTTGTCATGCATGGTAAACATATCATGTGGACAGCAGAAACAAAGGCCATTGTATGATCAAGGATAGCATGATAACTGGCTGTGAATTCTGGGTTGTGGTGTGTGGATCCCTCACCCCATAAACTAACTAACGCTATACCATAGTTGATGTGCATCATTTATCAGCCTTCATGGTCCCAGCTTTCATTTCTCCAAAGTTATAGGAGACTAAGCAAGTTAATGCAGTGGGCTTTGTAAATCTTTTTGCCAAGATGTACAATATTTGACCTAATGCTCAAGCCTTCCAATATGAAACAAAGATGTATGACCTTCTTCATCATCAGTCTCCTCTCTAACTGGAGGACATGGTACTCAATGAGCTCAGTGTCATTTCCCTTGAGGTCAGGAACTGCTTCTCAAGGAGGCTCTTAATTGACTTGACAGCTCTAACATCATTCTTGTTAAATGTTTCAAGTTTGTTGAGATCAACATTGAAGGACCAATGATCAAGAGCAGAGATGGTATCAGACTTGCAATGTGCGGAATCAGCTGTGAGACCTAAGAATTCATAAAAATAAGTGCATGTGAGGCCCTCCAGCAGACAATACATGGTGTTGACAACAATTGATCAGAGGAATTCCAGTAAGGTAACCTCCAGAGTGTAGACCACTGTACCCCATGTGATATGAATAACTTGTTACGCTCAGCTGAAGTTCCAGCATTCTTCCAGAGCTCAGTGTACTGATGTACTTTACTCTTGTTTCAAAGTCCCCAGTCCTTAGATTCAATATCTGTTCTATCAGAAGTTAACTTATACCAGCAATAGTGGGCAGTACAATAAAAATGGCTTGTTGGACCCGCTAGCTAGGCAGCTTTTCTCACCGCCAGAAGATCATACACTAGACATGCCATGTTACTGTGAGTAACTCAACCACGAGCATGGAGAGCTGTGTGACAAACATGTATCCTGTACTTCCAACTTTCTATCATGTCATTAACTATGGCGCTGAGAAAGTGACTCGACTTATCTCCCAAAGGTTCTGAAGGTCCAGGAATAATGCCAGTCAAGTACATGTTCTCAGGTTTATATCAGATATAGAGAAAAAGATTCAAACATGCACATGAGATGATACCAGTGGACATTGATGTTAGAAGAACTAAGAGTTCAGAGTCAATGCATGAAGTATGTAAGACTATGAACTCTGCACTATGAACAAGTCTATGAAGACAAATATAAACAATTCCTAATATGGTATATGTCTTCAAAGTGTCTTTAAAGTTCTTGAAGTCCTTGAAGTTAAGTACTAATATGGTATTAAGATAGGAATGAAGTAGGCCGCTTTTAAAGCTACTGAGAGACCAATATAATCAGGACTAGAGTCCAGAGTAAGTTTTCAAAGAGGCAGGAAGCACTAGACTCTGGGATATGAGTGATGTATGATAAACAAATGTAAACAAATAAGCCACAACACACAGGTAAGTAATAACTTGACCTAGAGACATCCTAGGAAGGTCAGGAAGTCAAATGAATAGGTGGTGAAATGTGAGGAATAATACTATAAGTATAGCAGTGCATATGGAGACATAAAAGACACAGAAATATGTACTGTAGAGGTAAATAGTCATATAACTAACATATAGTGATATCCTTGATGTGTCCTCAAAGTTTTAGAAGTCTTTGAACTATCTAATGGTGAAGTCACCACACAACTAACACTAGCTTGAGAATACAAGTAGTAATCTATGTTTCTTTATATATGTACTACAACTCCCTTAGTAAAGGACAGGCTTGTTAGCAATATGTAAAGCAAATTGAATTAAAAGAGGAAAACATAATTGTGAAGCAAGAAATGCTACAAGATTAGTTTATTATCCAATGAGAAATTGATCTATTGGCATTACTGGTAGATGGTCTACTGGAGTTAGACGATGGCTCAGAGCCTGGGAGTACTGTTTTTTAAGATAGTGACTGAGAATGCAATAGTGAGCAGTGACATACCTAGTACATAAGGGTAGTCTGACAGCTCAGTTGCATTGAGAAATTTCTATAGCAGATCATCATAATAAGATCCTGTTTGATTGGTTAGTGACCTAGTACATAATGTTAGCTGAAGGACTAACCAGGTACATAGTTCTATGTCCATTTTGCTAAAAAAGAAACCTGTTCTGAGACTAGAGTTATAAGAGAGTTGTCCTAGACATACTCAAAGAGTTCAACATTGGAAAATTGCTTGAGTCAGAGAACAAGAACAAGGTGCTGGGTTATAGACAGGATGAAGAATAGAGTAAATTCAAAATAGACATTCTACATATATATATGGAGGGAAGATTAACTGGGAGACCAGAGCTCAGGTGTGCTATTATGGGATATTCATATCAGTGGAGCCTCAAAACAATTTGATGAGAAGTACCAACTTGATATGGCCACAGGCTATATAGCTAGCATTTAGCCAAGACTAGACAGACAATCACCTTGCATGACTGTCCTTTTTGCTTTCCATGGATATACCAAAGCCCAGAAAAGTCCCATAGTGTAGGCAGCATGCAGCAATCATTGCAACCGGCCTCCAGCCCATTGTGCTAAGTCAGCACAATCAGATTGCTGAAGTCCCCCAGACTGATAGACATGGATCTCCTAATTTTCTGAGATATGATTGGATATTAGATGTTGAAATAAACTTATAGAACTGATAGCTCTAGCACTAACAACAGCTTCACCAGCCTGAACCTATCAGGTACATTGCTACTACATATCAAGTGTACATCATTATTAACAAAAATGCACCTTTCAGGATTGCACACTGCATATGAACACTGAGACTTTAACAGAAACTGTGGGGTCACCTAACATATGACCTCGTGTGACCTCTGATTCATGCCTTGACATAGTTCATAGTCCTTGAAGTTAGTGTAAATGCTGCATGTATTTTTTGTGCATGGCCATACATGTTACGACTTGGATGGTATCTGTTGGCGACGCTCAAACAGAGCGTGTGTCGTCAATGGTCGAGGACATCCTTGGGCTAGCCCAAGGTTAGGGGTCTTACTTGGTGAGTTTCGGCAAGTAAGATTTGACCCCTATGTCCAAATCGGGTAGCTTACGTCAAGCGGGTGCTAGACGATGAGCTGTATCTGCCAAGGCTTACGACACCCGAAGGTTAATCGTAAGATCGTCGTTAATTAGAAGGACAGAAGTCCGACTAGTTAACAGGGGCTTTGCTCGTCAATGAAGTCGATGAGTAAAGATCGAGACTAAGGACTTATCCGCGAAGAGCAGATAAGAAGATAGAATATAGACTGCTGGCTAGGCAGAAAGGATCACTCTGGTGAGAGTAGGAGGTCAAGAACCAAGTAGATTCAAGTTAGGTAATATGTTACATGGTAGCGAGTTTATATAGAGGACGGGGCGTGTATTAGTGGATGATAACTCGTACTACCAAGAGAAGTAAACGGTAAAGGGGATAACCATAAAAGGAAGGCACGTTCGAGGTGAGACACGGGTGAATCCTGAACGTGCGGATAAGAAAGTGAGTCAAAGATCAGAATAAGAAGTGAAACACGCAGGGGCACGATTGTGCAACTGTGGAGCTAAATATAAGTAACATGTGCGACTGCGCACCGAGTCAGAGATCAAGAAAGGAAAAAGGGCAAAGGGGATGCGTTGTGCATCATATCATAGGTTACTGTCCGGACGGTAAGGGGACTGTCCACAGGATCAGTCAGGTGGTGGAACGGAGCATGGGTGTTACAAGAACATCTAGACGCTTGGGCCCCTACCATTTTTCTCCTAATCCTCCTCGTATCAGCCCTCGCGTCATACCCTTACCCCGACCTTACCCTTGTCATCCTCGTCATCCTCGCATTCCCTTTCGCTCTCTACCTGTCGCTTCAGCAGAGCCAGTACATCTGGCCGGATCCTTTCGCTGACAAAGCATACCCATGCTCCGTTCCACCACCTGACTGATCCTGTGGACAGTCCCCTTGCCTTTACCGTCCGGACAGTAACCTATGATATGATGCACAACGCATCCCCTTTGCCCTTTTTCCTTTCTTGATCTCTGACTCGGTGCGCAGTCGCACATGTTACTTATATTTAGCTCCGCAGTTGCACAATCGTGCCCCTGCGTGTTTCACTTCTTATTCTGATCTTTGACTCACTTTCTTATCCGCACGTTCAGGATTCGCCCATGTCTCACCTCAAACGTGCCTTCCTTTTATGGTTATCCCCTTTACCGTTTACTTCTCTTGGTAGTACGAGTTATCATCCACTAATACACGCCCCGTCCTCTATATAAACTCGCTACCATGTAACATATTCCCTAACTTGAATCTACTTGGTTCTTGACCTCCTACTCTCACCAGAGTGATCCTTCTGCCTAGCCAGCAGTCTATATTCTATCTTCTTATCTGCTCTTCGCGGATAAGCCTATAGTCTCGACCTTTACTCATCGACTTCGTCAACGAGCAAAGCCCCTGTTAACTAGTCGGACTTCTGTCCTTCTAATTAACGACGATCTTACGATTAACCTTCGGGTGTTGTAAGCCTAGGCCGATTTAGCTTATCGTCTCGCACCTGCGTGACATAAGCTACCCGATTTGGACATAGGCGTTAAATCTTACTTGCCGAAGCCTCGCCAAGTAAGACCCCTAACCTTGGGCTAGCCCAAGGACGTCCTCGACCGTTGATGACACACGCTCTGTTTGAGCGTCGCCAACAGATACCATCCAAGTCGTAACAATTAACAATGGGTATGCTTCGTCAGCGAAAGGATCCGGCCAGATGTACTGGCTCTGCTGAAGCGACAGATAGAGAGCAAAGGGGAATGCGAGGATGACAAGGATGACCAGGGTAAGGTCGGGGTAAGGGTATGATGCAAGGACTGATACAAGGAGGATTAGGAGAAAAATGGTAGGGGCCCAAGCATCTAGATGTTCTTGTAACAATACAAGCCCCTTTCTTTGATAAATAATTTTACTGACCCATCAATATTAATTGAGTCATACCTAGCCCAGGACTGCTGTGTGAGATACCACAAGACAGTTATCTTGTGAATCTTCACTTACAAATGCATGATCCATGCTACAATTAGACATGATGTATTTTGAAAGGGGTGGCGACAGAGCAGAATTTGCTGTTTTAAAGAAATTTGTGATCCCTGAGGAAATTTTGAAAGTGAGTAATAAGTCTGCAGCCCATTCTCTTATATCAGAAACCACAGAAAATAACTGATGTCAGCCAGTGTGCTTACCAGTTGTATTTGATTTCTGTGCTCTCCAATATTCCCTTTGAGATGTACTTCAAAGTATTTTGGGGCTGACTGAGTTCATGCATAACACTATGTTGGAAATTCTCAATTTAAATTTCAATGCCTTATAACATATTTCAAGGCCCAAATGCAAAATGTGTCTTTAAATAGGTTGCTATAATAAAGTTGTAATTGTTATTGTCATTTAAATGTCAGTTTCAAGCACAGTTGCAATGATGATGAGTCATGACAATCATAACCCTCATGTGTCAATGGTGGTTCAAATCATTATTACAACATTTATTGTGATGTCATTAGAATGTACTAGTAAGTCTTGCAATGGCAATTGCAGGCTAACACATTGTAGTGAACATATATTCTTAGTGATACAAATTGCAATTTATTCCATTGGAGCAATAATAGCACAAATAGATTTCAATATTTAATTATAATAATGTTTGGAATCTCACCAGCCTTCCCAAATAATATAAATTGCACATTGTCAATAGTCTGAGTATTAAGTGATAGCATGTCACAAATACAACAGAAAGAATAATGTCCCAACACTATAATTGAATAGTAAAACAGGATGAGGAATTCAAAACTGAGTTAAACTGAACCCTGGACCAGCACCTGTATCTGGTGGTTACTGCAGTGTTAGTTCAGGTAATAAACCAATGACAGTACAAGAAAATCACCTCGCAAGTCATCAAAATATTAGGAACTTCCATTGCAATCTCATGGAGGCATGTCAATGATTGATGGGGCTTGAAATAAGTTTGAGAAATAATTGAGACAGGATTGAGAGGAGGAGTGTGAACTTGGATGTCACAATGAATCTGTTGAATGAAAGAAAGAGTGACATACTGATGTTGCTGTGAGTGGCTTTTTGATTTAGACTGAGCTTCATACTCAACTCTGCAGAATAGCGAGCAGACAGACAGCCAATATTTTCTCTGCCATTATGCCACCTAGTGGTGTGCTGGTGACAGCCCCAAATTCAGCGTGGTGCACTTCCTCACTCCTCTAATGGAGCGTACCTTGGGTGCTTCATTATTTTTGCGCGCTACCCCACCCAATACACGACTTTGTCTAGCAATTTACTCAATGAGAATGACCTCCTTCCCTGAACTATCCTGTCCTCCTCAAGTTCTTCTGATGTTGTCCTGTCCTCTCTGACTTCCTCTGATGCCATCCTGCCCCGCCTTCACTGCCTGATGAAAGACCCTTTTGATTTCGGCAGTGATATTGTATTGTTCTGTCGCTGCATGATAAAGATTTGTGAACTCTGCACTATGCGCGAGTCTATGTAAACAAATATAAACAATTCCTAGTATGGTATATGTCCTCAAAGTGTCCTCAGTCCTCGAAGTTATCTACTAATATAGTAATGTCCTTGAAGTGTCCTTCAAGTCTTCGAACTATCTAGTGTGAAGTCACCACACAACTAACAGTATCAAGATGTCGCTCTTTTCACTCACTTCCTCTTGGATGTCTAGTACTTCTTTGAATTCCGCATTTTGGGGAACATTGTTAGCCAAAAAGGTGAACATGTGCATCGGTCTCATATGCTGAGTGAGGTCTATTGACCATGTCGCCACCGTGTCCTATGTCAATTAATTGTTGCTGAATTAAGCATTGATTTACAGAGTAGCTGGTTATCAGAAAGGAGATGATGACGGCCAAGGCACTGAAGTGAACCAGAAGCATCAATATACACTTCAGCATATGTAATGATGACTGTGAATCTTGAGAGGTAAGAGTCGCCTTTCCTATGCTATAGTCATGGACCCATAAGTTGATTGCAGCCTTACTGCAACCTAGCGCTGGTGATGCACTTGTAACTGTGCAGCGCCTGTCAAGATCACGGGTCTTGGAAGATCATCAATCACTCATCCTCCACAAAAGTTCAATACTTACAGCGATGGTCTGCACCAGACCTCCATTAGAGTGGGGAAGAGTGTTGAGTAGCTTGCCCGATTTCCTCTCAAACACATACACTAATCCATTGTTGCTCCCTCCCATGACCAACCTTCCTTCTGTTAGTTGTGTGGTGACTTCACACCAGATAGGTCGAAGACTTCTAAGACTTCGAAGACTTGAAGGACACTTCAAGGACATTACTATATTAGTAGATAACTTCGAGGACTTCGAGGACACTTCAAGGACATTACTATATTAGTAGATAACTTCGAGGACTTCGAGGACTTCGAGGACACTTTGAGGACAGACCTCCAAGACACTTTGAGGACACACACCATACTAGGAATTGTTTATATTTGTTTACATAGACTCGCCCATAGTGCAGAGTTCACAAGTCTTACATGCTTCGTGCATTGACTTTGAACTCTCAGTTCTTCTAACACCAAGTAGTAGCAGGAGGGGTGCATGTTTCCAATGTCAGGATAGGTATTTGAGCAGTGCCAGGAAGCAGGTGAAGTGAACATGTTAATGCCAAGTTTGACAGAAGGTTTTGGCTGACATTAGAAAACTGCGACTCCCTAGCCACTGGGTTGGCTTCAGTGCCAAGAGTTGATGAGGAGGTTGGGAGGACATAGTCAGCTGTGCACATCTTCCTGATGTGTTCCACTTTGTTGTGTAAGTCCATGATAAGGGAAAAGAAGCTTGACAACTTATGAAAAAGACTCAAAATGAAGGCAATATATGGCTTGAGGTGCTTATCATCAAAATCAGAAGTGGCCTGCTTCCAGTTTTGCCCGTACTCATTGGTTCCTGTATGGTAACTTTGAAATACCAGTAGGTAGCATGTATGATGTGAAACTGTGTTCACCTCATGACATTGATATCACCATTATACCAAGGGTTAGGTCTAGCACCCAGAATAGTCCAGTAGAAGCCAGTCATCTCATGGATGGCTTGCAAGAAGTGTGCGATGGGACCGGTGCATTCTTCCAGAGTCCTATTTGGGATGTGGTGATTACATTTTCAACCAAGTCTGCGAGGGCTGTGATGGATGCTAGGGATATGCAGACTACCAATGTCAGGATTGTTTTGGGACGGCTTTGTATTGCAAAGAATGTACGTTGGCAAGACATCAGGATAGTCCATTACATAGACTTCAGGTCAGCTTCTTTGTTCAAATTTGTGAATTTGTTACTTAAATAAACTCACTCTAGCACTGGGTTGATGGGCACTTCAAGAACACTAGCCTGAAATCCCTTGGTTTCAGAATTCAGCTTAGCCATTGCATGGGAGAACACTGTTACAACCCAGCGTCAACAGCTTTTCACAACAACTTTGTTGTTCTCAATATTAATGGTGTACATTCAGTTGCAGTGGACTTCTGTGGATGCAAGACACCCAATCACTAACAACTCAGCTCCTCCATGTCCGGTGGTTTCTAGCAATGTCTCTTAATCCTAAAACAGCTGCAACATTTCAGCTCCTTCACCACTTCCATATTCTCATATTTGAATCAAAGGCATTGGCCTTTGAATGCTGGCAAACACTGTCATGGCTATCTGATAACTCTGGTGTCAATCATCCCAAGGTGAATGAACATTTATTTCAGTGGAGGCTGCAAATCTCACACATGTTCAGGATCACTACAAAGCACTGCTTCGAATGATTAAAGAATGGTGGAACTTGACATTGCTCAAACGATTTGGTCGTGGGCATGATCTTGAAGGTATTGGTGCCACTCAACCTGGTTCTTGTGCCATCCTCTGCCCTGCTTGTCCCCATATTTGTATGTATTATCCATTGATGTAGGGTTCAAATAACTTGGGAATTGTATTGACTACCGAGTGTTGGAACTCAGGACTTGCTAGTCAATATAGGAAAATGATAATGAAAAAATGAAAGTTATTGTTATGCTTAACTTTCTTAACAAAGGTTGTAGTCCAAGTCTATGTGAGTGTATTGGTAGTCTTTTCTTGTCTATCGGTCATTGTTTGACCGAGATATAAGCTAAAGAAATCCAAAACATCGGCAATAATGAAAAATGAAAGTTGTAGTCGAATTCTATGCAAGTGTATTGGTGGTCCTACCAAGTATTGGTACTCAGTATAGTGATGGTCATGGTGCTGGACTCAGAACCACTGATTTTCATACTCATGTCAACAAACAAAACAAATCTGCACACATCCGGTGCACTTTGCACAGGTCTGAGCCACTCCGCATTGGACCTTCGGACATTGTATCAGCTGATCACACTTTGCGCGCACTTGTCCATCCTTTGTCCTGTTTCTCCGAACTAGCTTGCATTATTGATACATCTATACTACTTACACCATATAGCAACCCCTTTAGGATCAAATGCACTTGCCTTGCAAGCATAGCAGCATAGGTCGTGCTGAAGATCTGCCTAAATATTGTTGTCTAGGTAGTACCATTTCTGCTGAGCCCAGCAGAGATTAGTTTTCTACGTCAAGACTTGGGACTCAGTGTTGATATTGCCAAATCACTGTTAGTTGTGTGGTGACTTCACACTAGATAGGTCGAAGACTTCTAAGACTTTGAAGACTTGAAGGACACTTCAAGGACATTACTATATTAGTAGATAACTTCGAGGACTTCGAGGACACATGCCATACTAGGAATTGTTTATATTTGTTTACATAGACTCGCCCATAGTGCAGAGTTCACAAGTCTTACATGCTTTGTACATTGACTTTGAACTCTCAGGTATAGTACTTTACTTATTTGCACAATAACATGCTTCGTGCATTGACTTTGAACTCTCAGTTCTTCTAACAGGTTATGAGCCCTGCGCTTTAGCAGTCAAATCTGTCGCTGGAGTTCACTGTCTTTGGGCCAACTTAGTGCGCATTTTCCCTCCTCTCGCATCCAGCCACTGGTGCTCTCCCCACCCATTATTCCTTGCTCTCTTTGTTGAAAATCAGCAAAGACAGCCTTTCCTTCAAATTCTACCAAGCCCTTGCCCTTAATTCGTCCCACTGCTGCAAAACTGCGCCGTCTCCTTCGCCATGTCCTCAGAAGACTCGAAATCTATTTGCACTGTCACCAAACTCACTTCTACCAACTATGCTACCTGGAAGGGTGAGATGAAGGCCTATCTTCGAGTCAAGGGTCTCTGGTTGCTCGTCAA